CTGGTATAACAATATCACTTAATACATGTACATATATTATACATATACTAAGGCCACAGTTTATTACCTGTAAGAAAGGCACACATTTACACGCGTGTTGTACATATTCACATTGCAAATAATAATCATTGTAATAATGAAAGTAATAATAAAATTGATGATGGTGATGAAAATGATGATGTTGATACAATGCAATAATATAAATTGTACTGTAATGGTGAAAATCATTCAAACTTGCTAAAGATACATTTATGGAGAGAGGCATTTTCAGCAAGCAACATAAAGCTATTATCTGACGAGAAAAAACAAGGAACACCTTAAGTTTTTTCTTCATTCAATAGCTTAATATTGAAATGGTTTACCTCCAATATTTTGATGTCTATCAGAGCACCTGCGTAAGGAAATGGGGGTATCCAGGTGAACTATTACTGTATTATTATGACATAACACAGCCGATGAATGTTCAGTCTAGCGCTGATCATACCGTGTACATTTATTTTGGTCACGATCAACATGCACTGTGCTGGTGTTAATTCATGCCTTAACTTTTGGACGAGAACTGTCATAGGTTTACCAGGTAGATAGCTTTCGAGATATGTGAAAAATGTCAATGGCTCCATCGGGACATTTTCGTTGAGCTAAAAAGGGAACATTAAAGTCAAAGCCAAATTTTCGGAACCTAGAAATTTTTGTTCTTATGAAAGTTTTTTATTGTGGTTTCCATGGGGTCCTAAATAAATTCAGACTGGTTGCCACTTTGGCAACCTTGGGCAACTATAAAAATCCAAGATGACCAATAGAAATATACACCCTTGCACATAAAAGGCCCTCGTTCTTAGCTGACACCACTATTTCAGCCCAACCATGCACTAAAAATATGTAAATGGCAGTCCCTTTACTGTTGGGCATCTATTTTGAACCTTTTGACAAGTACAAAATGGGCGCCACCTATCAAGTTTTCTTCGATTACAGCAACCAAACAAAATTTTCAGAAACTACTAGTAGCGAAAAATGTCAAAGTCACTTAAAGTTTTATTTGATTGGATAATTTCTTAATGAAAATGTAATTTTTCGATCACGTGTATATATATGACAACTGGGTATAAAATTCTACATATTTAACTGTAAACAAAGCTCACAGATATTGGCTAAAATAACATATTAAAAAGTTATTGACAATTAACTTATGAAGGAAAATTCATATGATCACGCAAAAGACGATGTGACGAAAAACAGGTGAATGTGCGGTCCGTACGGAGATATAGGGTTTAATGCTCTTGCATTTATATGAAAAATAAGATGATAAATACATTTTGAAAGCTTCAAGTTGGCGTCGTCGACACTGTAACACTTGGTGAGAAATCTAACCTTAATAACTGTAATGCACTTGTTTTAATGATTTAACAAGTTATGAGAAGGGTGCACAGAGTCTAAACAACTCAACAAAATATCTATTTTCATCTAACATTGTGATAAGTTTGGTTTCGACAATTTTACCGAACTTTAAGTTTCTATGAGCGTATTGAGGAATCATGTTTAAGTTAATCTTTGCCTAAAAGTTACTTAATCCTGCTGTAGTCACAAGAAGAAGAATTGTAATTCAGAATGGCTTTAAATACAAATCACGTCTATTCGACTGAGACAATTGCCAGTGTACGCTTTCCAAAGCAAAGTTTTGATGGCGTGTCATAATCACATATTTAGTTCCTGAAATGTGCAGATCAATGAACTGATTAAATCCCAGCAGAGCTTAACTTATTACAAAATATTATTCTCCATTTGTAATGAGAACATATCCTGTACACATGCATTTCTTAATTATAAATATAATTTGCGTTATAAATTAATATCCATGGTGACTTTCTTACAGTAAATCTTTTGAAATTATAGAGACATCATCATTATTTTCATGGCACGCCTAAATTACCTTAAAGAGCCATCAAATGTACCAATTGTGGAATTTCGTTCTCAGTAAACATCATCATTATAAAAGCAGTATACCCCCTGCACGAATGAAATAGAACGTATGATGAGATCAGATATTATCATGCTATTAAGTGCATAGCTTGGAATTCGCAATTTCATCAGTTATAACCATGTACCGGCAATTATCGTCTCGAGGGGGGGGGGGGGGTATTCTAAAGAAAAAAAGCAGCTTGACAGCTGACCTTTTCTGGCAAAAAGAGTGGGTTTTTCCTCTATTACAGACCATCTACTCCGTTTCTAACGGACGGACATTGCTGATTTTCTATTAAATAAGGCTAGTAGCTTCAATTTAAAAAATGATGAAGTTGATCAATGTACATTAAAATTTCCCTTGACTATTGTGTAAACACCCCATTTCCATAGATTAGATCGACCTACTTTAGATCGACCTAACTCCCTGGGGGTTAACGCTAAATAGCTGTCAGCCGGGCGGACACGAAAGTTAATTACCCCCTTACAGCTTGTAGTAGGTGGGACGGACATTTAAGTCGGATTATCTGAAAGTAATCTAGTGAGACTCCCCGCGGGGATAGATCGATCTAAAATCTATGGGAATAGAGCCTAAGACCGCTCTCTTATGTATAAACTGTCATGGATTTCATAGCTGACACGTTTGCTTCTACATTAAGACATATTTCTGTTGCTATTTATGTTTTACACACTTTGAAAAAATATTCATGTGGTAGAAATGCATTGTCACAGACAACCTCATTCTGCATACATCACGATAAACATAAATATGTTCAACAATATGTATAAGAGAGGGCAGAGCAGCCGAGCCTTCACAAACAGGTGAGGGATTAAGGTTCCAATTGTGCAGGACACGGGGCACAGTTGCTCACACACACACACGGATACACACACACACACACACACACACACACACACACGCACACACACACACACACACCAACAATGTTAAAACGAAAGAAAACATTTCTGCAGGCTGAGAAAACGCGCACCCATGAATTGTGACTGCTGTGCAAGCTCACCTACTGCAATTCACAAATCTTACCAACTAATAAATGAGTACTGGTGACAATTTGATTATACGCACAATGTGGGTACGAGGACGGGGCGTGCAAACAGTAATTACTTAACATACATTATACAATGAATACGTGGTACATCTTCGTCATTTACATTATGATAAAAGCATGGGCACTCATGTGGGTTCCATTTTACCTAAATGAAGCAATAAAATGCTTTTAATGTTTAGACCTAGCCTAATGTGTTATTCTGATAAGAGGTAGTTTATTTCACGTCTGTGTGACGGAAGGATTTGCTGTATCAGTTTTTTTTATTTTCTCTGATAAAATAAGTGTTCTTAGCCGTGTACAGTGTACTACTTTTGGCTTGCGTGTTGTGTGGCGTCTCACCTCAGCGTGGTGCAGAGAGAGCGTCTCACCTCTGTTTGAGTTTGACTAAAAGACGGTTGTACGGGAGACGTACAGCCTGGTGGGGGAGGGGGTGGACTGGTTGCAGAAAGCGCTTCTCGGTCAACACGTGACCTTCATCAGCTGCCTAGTGGGGGTGAGGGGGGGGTGAGAAGGGGGTTGTCAATGCAGCGGCTTTCACAGGGGTGAAAACCAATTCTTCATCACGGGTGTCTTGCCTTTGTGAGTGTGCGTCTGCTTGTGCAGATTGCAAATGTACTTACCGGTATACTGCTTAATCAATGGTGTAAGGATATTAAGTACCACGGAAAAAATCCCAAGCATAACAGAATTAAAATAAAAACAATCATACATTCGTGCTACCAAAATAACACTAAACATTAACTTGCTTCGAATGTTCTCTTAGATTCACAGTAAATGATAGGGAAAGGATTACACTGCGTACAGTAGTCACCCAGTCTTTTCAAACCGAGTATTGTACAGACAATCATAATATCACAACTATCAGTATCATACGTCTAAGTTAATTAATAGATTAAAAAAAAACTCTATGCTTGAAAAAACAGGGTTTTTGTTAAAAAACAATGTGTGGTGAAAAGGGATTGTCAAGGACGCTTAAACTCAAAACACCATGCATCCGCTGTGGTATTGGTAAACAGAATTTAATGCGGAACAGGACATGGCCTATTTCGACATAGCATTCAATATGATAAAAAAAAGAAAAAAATGTCTTTATTCTCACAGACAAATCCACTGTAGCACGAGTCAAGAACTTTTGATCCAAGAAATTTTACCTCTTCGTTTTTCTCATAATTCATAGATAATTCTACTAGAATTGTTCCTATCGACCCCAAATTTCCCACTGCTCCCCCTCTTATGAACCCGTATCAATGTAAACGAGTGTAAACGAGTAGTATTATTCACCTTTTTGGAGTAGTCGCTTTATCCATGAATGTTTACCATACTTAATCCAAGCCTGAAGCTTTCTGAAAAATAACTAACAAGTAACAAAAAATCTAGAAAAAAGCTCGTTGCTGACCCCATTTTTGTTACCTCAAATAAAAAGGACATATTTAATTGAAACAAAAATATAAGTTAAACGAAATAACTATAAGAATATCCTTATCGGGGTATTATGAAAAATGTAACCTAAATCGTTTCCCTCAATTTTCATTCAATTTTCTGTAATTTACATGCTATATTTAACAATTACCGATGGTAAACACAAGAGAATATTCATATTTGGACTGGAGTACCAAATACATGTACAAGACGTACATTTCTTGCTTTTGATACAATACTGTGTGTAAAACAAAATATGTACTAATGACAAGATACAAACAGTCCGTCACATAGGCCAGTATTTTAGGCAAATAAGACCTTTTTCGTCCTCCGTGCACAAAACATATTAATAAACATGTTCAAGAAATCTACCCGTTTATGTGTACTAGTAAGTTTTTCATACGATGATATACATGCACTTCTTACAGTACACATAAAGTGACACAACATGTGACTTTTGTTCAGTAAAGGACGAGATATATTAATCAAAACTGCGTGTTGTTCATTGGAATTGCCTCCTCGCCTGTCTGAACCTGCCTGTCATGCAATATCTGCCAGGGCATTGCAAAATAAGGCTCTACAGTCGTGGAAGAAGAGGACGAGACAAAGGCCAAACAAAACTCGGTGTTATTCGTTGGAACTTGATTGGGCCTCCCCGCATGACTGAAACTGCACGAAACTCGACAAACTGCCAGGACATGTGTGAGCAACAGATTGTGCAACTATAAAAGGACATGGGCCCCACAGTTCGCTCAGTCACAGTCACTCGCCTGTTCAGACTGAGAACGAGAAGATGACCTCCAGAGTTTTCTTTGGTTGCTTTTTGGTTGTTCTGCTACTTCCAGATTTAATTGATGCCAGGTGTAAGTACAGTTTTAAAATATGACAGTAGTCGGTGTCGTTTTCATCTGTTTTTAATCCCATCTGTTTTCTGTTAGATAAAACTGTTTTTTAAACCAACCCTGTACTTAGTACATGTGACAGTATTGTACACCCGAAGACACAAGCAGACTATATATCGTCCCAGAGACGGTAGACTTTTTTCAATTTTCTCCTGTATATATTACCCTAACAAAAAGTGTCACCTCTTATGCATTGCGTAAAATGATGCAGATAATCATTTTATAAACCAATGCATTTTACTCAACTCCGTAAAGGATTTTTTCACAAAATTTTACTTTTTTCACAACCATTCAATAAGGCAACGATATTTAAATAAAACAAAGCCACATTTAAGTATTTTGTACAGCATATTCTGATCTAGAGGATGCACATGAGGCCTCTGTGTGTGGATTCAAAAAGTTTCGTAAGTTTAAGGAGTGATGGCGTTCCACATACAGTGCAAAGGTGATGAGCTCACTTTTGTTCGGATGCTTATCACTCAGTTATCCATTTCCGAGGATATCCCACATTTTCTTTGAAGTTCTGTTCCAAGGATTGAGGTGACCATTGGTTGGTTGGGGGGGGGGCGGGGGGGTTCTGGGTCTGGTTTGCATATAACCAGCCTACTGTTGCATTGGCTGTACGTGGAGTAGCATCATTTTAATAAATATAACTGGGTGGTATGATCCTTAAAGGTACTCTCCACAGATTTTCTTCAGTTCCTGTCCAGTGCTCGGATGCGTTGTTCTGCGTTAAGGTTCCCGTCGACCAATACACGCTGGCCTGCAACAAAGTAATAAATGCACTTCATGCCATTAATTATGGGGGGTGCGTCTTCTCGATCAGAGGCAGAAAATTGGGAAGTCATCTTTCTAGTTGTTTTCCAAACACTTACACGTCCATCACTTCTGACAACGCCGATTCTGCATGCTTTAATCTGAGAACAGTTTAATGAACCAGTTCCGGTATCCCATCTGATTCCACGTACACGCTTCCTGGCGGTGATCACTGGTCCCCTAACAGCAACCCTTCCAAAACAACAACGATTTTGCAGACCTCTTCTTACGGTAAACTCAGAAATATGGTTTGCCCTATTCTAGTTAAATTAATACCGCAGTCAAGTTCCTAAATGTCATGAGATATTTTCTACCATGGAAACGTGTTAACATTCTCTTTTCTCTGGGTGTGGTTTCCTTCGGTGGGCCTAATTACCCAGGCAATCTTGCCCATGTGCCTGTTTGCATATGATGTTGTCTAACCCTCTAACTTCTGAATGGTTACCATAGCACAAACAATCATTCTGGGGACTTGGCGGGCCAAAACTCCCTCCTGTGTCAGCTGCTTGGTAAAAAAATTGTATTGCTCTCACTTAGGAGTCGCATATTTAAATAAACTAAGTGTTGGGTATTTCAAAGGCAACACTAGATAGGTCAATTTCCCTTTACTCACATCCCCAATTTACACGACGGTCGGTCGCCCAGTTGATATGCAGTAGTAAAAGTAAACCTATTGGTACCCTTATCACAATGTACAAAAATGGATGTTACTTTTTTTCTACGGGGGTATATTACTCACATCCCCGATTTAATGTTATGCCATAGTGGAATTAAGCCTATGGTATGGGTGCTACACGAAGTTGCAATTTACATAAATGGGGTAGGGGTGACACTTTTTTTGCTAGGGGGTATATCTCTTGGTTTCAATCCTAAATGTACTTTTCTTTAAAAACGTTGCATTCAACCAGTTTCCATTTGTCAAGGGTATATTGTCAAACATTTGTCAAACTTCTCGGCCAGGACATTATTTCATTTCGATATAACAACAACACTTTTCAGAAATCTGTTCTTGATGACCCAAAAAGTTTAAAATGTGGTGGACACACACACACACACACGCCTTTTCATGTTACAGGTGAATCAGGGATAGTGTCCAGCGACGTCTGTAGGAGAAGCAGTAGCCAAAGGTGTCAGAGCCAAGAAAAGCACGTGCGTTTCGAAAAACCGTTTGAAAAGACTCCGAACGTTATGGTGGCAATATCGACCTTTGATATTTGGTAAGACACGACATTGATACTTTTACTGAGACGACATTTTTCGGTTTTGTTTAGAATATTTCGATATACGTCTCACAAAAAAGACTTGCTTCTAGGGATCTGTATAATTTTTTTCTGTGATTTTAACTGGGACTGCGCCATTTCCTTTGGAAGAGAAGAGAGAACCATATTTTTCAAATGTCAAAAATGCTATGTTGAAAAATATTTTAATACTTCAGTATTTTAATACTTTATAGGTGAAAGTATATATAGTCGGGCTTAAAAACTAAACAAAATAATTTCCAATTTAAACTTAAAAAGACAGCAATATAAAAGACAGATGTCTGTAAGAATGAAATAGCGGTGACCACACCACGGAAATAGGTTTTCGTCCTATTTTGTCCAGTGATAGACCTTGATCCCAAATCTCTCTAACCAGCATTGTTTATTCTCAAAATTGCTTGCATTTATTGTGACAGGCAAAACCTTTGGCCAGTTCTAACTACAGTGATTTAAATTTCCCCTTTTCATTAATTACACTAAAGCAACATTATTTGTTATGGACGCCATCTTAGAATTTTCGACAAGACTCAGTCTGCCACGTGTCAACTCGGTCAATTATTACATTGTAACCAAAACGCGCGGCACAACATTCAAGCTAGCTGAACAGTTTCATAAGCTGCATGTCTGAAAAGACCAAAAGATGGAATTGCGCTTTGGCTGCAAATACATGTAGTAAAGAATATTCTTACATGTAAATGACAATTGTCATTTTTTGTAAATTTCTTTCTTATTGCTTTCAGGAATGGTGCAAATAGTAGACTGACAACATACCATTCAGGCGTCACCTCTCAAGGCTTTAATGTGAATATCAAAAGCTGGGCTGACACTCATCTGTACTATGTAACGGTGTCCTGGATGGCATGCCTCTGACCTGTTTTGAATATACATGCATGCTTTAATTGAAAACACTGAAGATGCAGCAGTAATATGGACTTCATATTGTCGATTCCCGATTATATACCTTATAAAAACATGCACCGAAACTACTTGTGTCAAACAAACTCATTCAAAAATGTCTTTAAATGTATAAAGGGGATGTCATGTGTGTAACAGCTAGTTAAAGTGGCAATGATATTAAAAATAATGAACATTTTTGTTGTTGCTAAACTTATGTTAATTACTGCTATAGGCATTTGATCAGACTGAAATATTTTAAAACGCTGCAACAATAGTTTCTTAAGAGTTAAAAAATACAAATATCCCACATCGACAAAATTTATAATTAATTTTCAAAGTAATAGAAGCATTGCGTCTTGGTAATTAAAGTAATCTCTTTTTTAATGTTAATGTTAAATGTACATTTACAAATGTTAAAGTGTGTACAACAATGAATAAATCCTTTTTGGGTGGGGGTAGGGGGTTCTAAATAATATTCTTACATGCATTTATGGACCTGTAACGCTATACGACGTTCTGAGTTTTCTGTGTTGAGCTATACGACGTTCTGAGTTTTCCGTGTTGAGCTATATGACGTTCTGAGTTTGCTGTGTTGAGCTATATGACGTTCTGAGTTTTCTATGTTGAGCTATACGACGTTCTGGGTTTTCTGTGTTGAGCTATATGACGTTCTGAGTTTTCTGTGTTGAGCGTGGCATTTTCTGTTCCTGCCCTCCTTTTTTTTACCAAATTTATAACTGATCATCAAAAAGAACCCAAGCGAATAAAATCCTTAAAGATACTATTGTTCAAAGGTGAAACACGGAGTTAAAATGAAACACTTATTTGCTACAGTTCAGTGTAACAATTATTCTCAAAATGATGTAAGCACAGAACTACAGTTACAGCTAGACAAAATTCTAAATTCAAGAGAGGACCATTGGTGTGATTTTTTTCGGAAATCGAAGGGGGTTAGGACCCCACCAACACACACACACACACACACTAAATCCGCCGCTGCTACTGTACAAATACATCCCCTTTTCTGTCATTAACGTGTGAACTTAGATGCAGAATTTAGCCAGTATAGTATTTGTCTAATTCTAACTGAATGCTTACAGTGCAATTGCTTACAACCTGTCGTCTCTTTTACAGCAGCGCAGTACTTGCACATGTAGGTCTACGTAGGGGTCACTCATTTCATCATCACTTTATCACCTACCCATTTCTAAATGTATTTTCCTGGTCAGACCTTATGGTCTTATTATACTACTTCTTTATGTTTAGACTCACTTGCAATGCAGTGTGGAGCACAGAAAGGAAACAGGATAACTTTGTGCACATAAGTCACAGAGTCATTCCAAAACTATTATAATTGTAAGTCAAATAAAATACTAAAAAAACTTTACTCATGATAAACAAGATTTTTGTTTAAAAAAAATTAAGTGTGGTGAAGAGGGATCGGCAACGACGCTTTATCTCAAAAACACCATTCATCCGCCGACACACTTAAACAACGAGATATTGGGTAACAGAATTAAATGCGGAACAGGACATGACCCATTTAGACGTAGCATTCGATATGAAAAAAAAAAATTCGACACTACTTCCATAGGCAAATCCAGTACTGTAGCAGGGAACAAGAACTTTTGATCCAAGAAATTTTACTTCATCGGTTTTTCAAAATTCAAAGAAAATTGTTACAGAATGCACTCGGTTGTTTCCTTCGCGGTACATGTATGCGTCTACATCCTTGCTATAAAGACCTCGTTATCCCAGCTTCCTTACAACCAACCCATGACAGTACAGGGTTTCTCACAGCAGCTAATCCAGCTGCAAGGTGCTCTGATACAGCTTCAGGGAAGCGCTGCAGATCATGGAAAAAACATCGCCCAACTCGGACAGGCCTTATCGGCCGTCAAGGAAACAACGGGTGTGGCGACCACGAATTTAAGGTCTCGCCAGGACACGAATGAAGTCAGGCTGGACACTTTGCAGCAAAATTTGACAGAGGTATGTGAAACAAGCTCCCTTGTTGATAATGTTTTTGTTTTTTTGTTTGTTTGTAATTGCTATATATAATTTCTTCGGTGATTCCCGTGTACATGTAGGCCTACTTTAATTAAACATTTGAATAAAGTATATTTACCTATACCTATACTGTAATGTGACTTCACAGTTTAAAAAAAATACTTAACCCTACCACAAGGAAAACTGCATGGCACCGGGCATTTTTTCAACAAAATTGTTGCCATGGCAACTAACATGGAGCTGATTTTTACAAGGTTTCAACTTTGCTGCGAATACAGTACGAGAAATTGTCAGAAATCTCGAGCAAGGTGGAGCAGCTTCAGAGGGCGATACTGGGCGATGACTCAGAGCGGGCTAACCTGTCTGCCATTGTCAGAAAGCTGCAAAGTGACATGCGCAATTTGCCGTCACGAGGTAGGACACACTTACTCCTGGGTGATACTGTGCCCCATACCAACCCAATGGAGCATAAATGCGATAATAGCTATGTGATAGGGCTTACGGGTCACAACTGCCGAACCACTGTGGTGACTTCTCTAACACAATATGATGCCGAGTTTCCTTAGAACAACAAAGTGTTTTATTGTAACATAGTTTGTGAAAATTAGGAAACTATACTCAATTTCCTTAATTCCATGTACCCTATTTACTGTGTTTAGTATTATATATCTATTCCAGACGATCGTGAAAATAATGCCCCTTGGTTTGGCACATTTTTTTAGACGCTCTTTGGGACAAAGCTATACTCACATTTTTACAATTCTTTCTTTTTCTAGTTAATAGAGAAGAATCGTACAAGTATTAGGCCAACAGAATTATTTTTTATTTCTCTTATTTCATTTGTAGCTAGTTTTGTCAACACCGGTTTCTCCAACTCTTGGTACCGTCTTGTCAATGAAGCTAAAACCTGGAATGAAGCGGAGAGATACTGTCAGGAACTACATCCAAACGGTCACCTGGCCATGGTGACATCCGCCAAAGAAAATAGTTTCATTGAAGCTTTGCTAAAGAACCGAGTTTCTGGTAAGAATCATTTCTCAACACTTCCCAAGCTTAGTGTAAGTCTTCTTTATCATATATTTAAGAGATAATCAAACATGATTTAAGAATTGAATTAGAAAATCGCACATCATGGTTCCAATCGCAGAACAAGTTTCAAGAAGTAATTCTCAAGAAGTCCAGCATTATTCAGGTTTGATTTTGCTGACTATTTCACAATTTGGCAAGTCTTCTTCTTCATGTGTTATGATTATAAGGACAAAGTGAGGTAGAACAGTGTCTGTCAGCATTATATATGTATATGGTTATCGTAGGTAGCCGGCCAATGGCCTATCTTGGAGGTCACGACATTGCAGCCGAGGGCCAGTGGAAATGGCAGAACGGTCAGAGCATGTCGTACACCAACTGGGCCCCAAACGAGCCAAACAACTCTGGTTCTAGGGAAGACTGTGCGGAATTTGTACCCGCAACAGGAAAGTGGAACGATATCCGGTGTACGCAGAAGCAGTCGTTCTTGTGTCAGGTGATTTACCCCGAGTGACTCTTGGCGCCATCTGACGTCAATCGTGATGTGACGTCATACGTTTAGTCCGTCAGTCATCCATTGGTTTTGATAGCATGTACAGAAAGGCAGTTTTGCCGGAGTTTGTTTTTTCACTTAAAAGTATTATGTGTAGTAATGTACGTGCATGAGTTCCGTTTACGAGACTAAAATGCCTTAAAGGACAATGGTCATATAAAAATCCATTTCTCGAATTTTGAAGATTCAACACTCAATCTGTACACTAGAGGTATGTTTTAATCGATCCCTGCCATTTAAAAATTATAAAAACAATCTATTAGTAGTAAAAAAGCGTTTTAGTAAACCTCACCTTAATATGCATAAATGAAGCAACAGATCTGGGTCACGCGGTACTGTGACGACAATTGGGATAAAGGTCTATGAGACTCAACTGATGTTTTCTGAAGAATATGTTCCGTTGAAGCCATTCTGACGGTATGAAGCAAATCCTTTAACTTATTAGATACCATTCTAGTCGCTTTCTATTATAATGTAGCGGCCTATACTGTTAAGTTGACACAAAATATATACAGTACAGAGGTGTTTCAAATCGCGAAGTTTGTCTTATTTTTTTTCATGATAGTTCAACATAGTTGTCATGTAAAAAGTATTTCTTCAGAAAGTAATATACAGGACACAAAGTTCAACGAATACATTAGTGTACCGTCATGCATCGCTATAATGTAGTGATGTAGTACGTGATGAAGAAAAAATTTAACTGGTAAAAAAAATGAAAAGGACATGGATATAAGTAGTGTTTCTATGCCGTAAATGTGTTAACACTCAAAACTCTACCGTTAACAGTATGCTCGTTAAGCGTCATGTTTTTAAAAATGAAAAATTAATTTGTATGATCTATGATAACCAATACGAAATAAACATGTTTTCACAATAGAAGTTTATAATAATTAACAATAGCAAAACAGTAAATGCTCGTTTTATTTTTTCTCAAAATTCGAGACATATTGTTTTATTGGCCTACTTATGTTGTCAATTACCCGGATTTTGATGATTATCAAGTGATGTCAAATTTAAATTTAGATTAATCCCCCCCCCCTCCGTATAAACAGCGATGCACGCTATCCCTAGTTTTTCATCAATTTTTTCTTCATTGATTATTTGTAGCCTGAATGTCCTATTTTATGATGTTAGTTATATTATCCTTTTTATGATCATCAATTTTTTACAATGAATATTGTATAGACATCAACTTTTCTAGTAAATCCATTGTAAGGCGAAGTATACACTGAAGCTAGGCCGGTCCTTGTCACCTCATCAAATCCCACTCTCCACAAGAACCAGCCGCCATTTAATTTAAAACGCGAAAGCACCGAGCGCAAGCTTTTCGATTCCATAATTCGCCCATACTCGCCCCATATAATACATTGTAGCCTCTATATGATATCGCTATTCGGGGTTGGTGCAGCGGCCTCTTTAACGTGTAGCTATAAGTTAACATCTGATCAACTCCCAACTAATATCTATTTCTCACCCTGTCAGTACCTAAGAAGAGGTGGATTCACGGCGAGGGATGTGGGGTGGGGTGTGCGGGGGTTGCTCTCCTGTGCACGTTATGATGATATGGCATTGTGTAAAATATTCACATTTAATATTTTAACAAGAGAATATCCCGTAGTCAGTATCGAGGACTCTTCATGCAAGCTGGGAACTGAAATACATGTAACATTTATCATCGACTAAACTGACCTAATTAATTATAAATATATTGCCGTTCCTTGTAACATGTGCGCGTACTCTCACACCGGCTCTCACTCAGCGTACTCTCACTCTCACAACAAGGTCTCTGTTTTTGGATCGAACAGATCAAAGTTGGTGTTTAATTTGAAAATATTGTATCCATTTAACAAAGGTTTGAAAGGAGGTTTGATTAAACCACTGAACTGGAATTTTTCATAAGTTTTGTAATGTTACATAAAGGAATATGAAATTTAAAATTATGTATCGAAGAGCAAAACGATGGGTTTTAATAAAAATAAAAAGTGAGATTAGTAACAAAGAAAGTGTCTGAAGACAAAAAATATATTACGACAGGACAGTTTGCAATCCTTCACCTTCTGTATTACCTGGTCTCGTTTTCAGTATAACTGCGTAAACTTTCTCTTTCTGTGATTATTTCGACAACCAAAACTAACGATTACTTGAAGACCACCCCCAGTTTGGCAAAATACAGGGCTTAACATTTGCTCCTTTCCTCATTTCTCAATAATTCCTGTGAGGATTTACATATTCTTTCATTTATTCTAGTTGATTTTTCATTTTTATTTCATACTCTTCACTAATAATATAGACTCTGAAAATGAGCCCGTATGCTCAGTCATGTTTCCATCGGCGTTAGCTTGTTAGTTGTTTAGAGATGTTTAGACATTGCAAAATATTCCTCACAAATTTTGATGAAAACAACACATAATCATCATGTAAAATTCTCCAGTGACATCGTACAAAGCAAAAATTACGTCCCACTAAATTACAGCATGGGTTTATTCATATAGCTCACCCTACTAGAAAATTAAATTAAATAAAAAAATTAATTTATAAAAATAAGTAACTCCGGTTACCAAATGATAAGTCCACAGCGCACTTCCAATGAATGGACTAAGTACTGTACTCCTATGATTTTTTTGACCCAGAAGAAGAAGAAACGCTGCTTGGAATGAACCCGACCACATCACTGGGGTCAGATGCGTCATTGGTGACATGCCTGACTTTTGGGTGAAGCGAAATGTTTTTTGACGGGGCTTTGATAGCATTTTGTTTAATGTCAATTTCGCGAGAGATTCATTGAAGACTGTGAGATGGGGAAATAAAAGGTTTAAATTTATTATTCGTGGAAAACAGGATTAGTTTTAAAAGCAATTCCTGATGAAAGAGAAAGCAGTGCAATGACTCATATATCAACTTCAAGAACCACCAAACTTAAACAATGAAGTACCAGTTCCCAGAATTAATTGCGAAACAGGACATAGCCTACTTAGATGCAGAATTCAAACTAAAAAGCAAACTCTTCCATTGTCGTTATCTTTACCGACAAATCCAATATTGTTGCAAGAGTCAAGAAATTTTGCGGTACATGCATAAGTTTAGATCCTTAATACAAATCACTAGTTTTCTTGGCTCCCTTGGTTTTAGTATTTGTAGTATTAGTATTTGTTTAATACAAACTGAATGCTTACATTCTGTTGCAATAGATGACATTCTGCTGCCTCTTTTACAGCAGCGCATATATTAAGAAATTAGGTGTCATCAATTTTTGTCATCTTTTTTTTCACACACTCATTTCTAAACGCATTTTCCGAACATACCTTATAGACTAAAAGTACTTCTTGCTGTTTAAAATCGCTTGTAATGAAGTGAAGGAAAACAAAATTTTACTGTGTACAGTTTTATTTTAAGTTATTACTGAACCCATAGTAATTATGTAGCAGCTATGCTAATTGTAAGTCCAATTAAAGATTGAAAAAATACATAATACGTGGAAAACAAGATTTCGGTTACAAAGCAAAATTTTTATGAAAGAGGAACTAGGCAATGACTCATACATCAAGAACAATAATTAACGTCCTTCCAACTTAAACAATGAAGTACCAGTTCCCAGAATTAATTGCGAAACAGGACATAGCCTACTTAGACGAAGAATTCAATATAAAAACCAAAGTGTTCCACTGTCGTTACTTTCACCGACAAATCCAATTTAGCTGTGGTAACTTTGCTTCAAGAAATTTTACCTCATCGGTTATTCAAAATTCATAGACAATTGTTACAGAATGCACGCGGTTATTTCCTTCGTGGTGCATGTATGCGTCTACATCCTTGCTATAAAGGTCTCATCCCAGCTTCCTTACAACCAACCCATGACCGTACAGGGTTTCTCACAGCAGCTAATCCAGCTGCAAGGTGCTCTGATACAGCGTCAGCAAAAGTTGACAGAGGTATGTGAAACAATGATGTTTGTTTGTTATTGCTATATATAATTTCTTAGGTGATGTCCGTGTATATGTACTTTAATTAAACATTTGAAGAAAGTATATTTATAATTACCTATACATGTGTAATGTGACTTCGCAGTTAAAAAAAAAACTTAACCCTACCCCAAGGAAAACTGCATGGCACCGGGCATTTTTTCAAAAAAATTGTTGCCATGGCAACTAAAATGGAATTGATTTTTACAAGTTTTCAGCTTTGGTGCGAAAACAGAACGAGATCTTGTCAGAAATCTGGAGCAAGGTGGAGCAGCTTCCGGATGTTGACCTGCCTGCCATTGTCAGGCAGCTGCAAAGTTTCACGCGCAATTTGCCGTCACGAGGTAGGACACACATCTTTTAAACAGCATTTGTCATGCAATACTCCCGAGGTGGTGTTTGTGTGTGTGAGTGTGCGTGCGTGTGTGCGTATGTGTATGTGTATGTGGGGAATATTAGAGGAGCAATTTTTAGAAAGGACGAGTAACCTATCATTCTTGGCATTGGTGTAAAATTCCAACTGTTAAACCAAGTTTTTTGGGGCTTTTAATGTCTTTGATGTTGAGAGTTTTTAACACATGTACGAACGTACAACGTAAGCTCCGTTTCGGGCATATTGTGCTTCTTTAGTGGAAGTAATATTTTGACGAAAGTGATATATTGGGGAAGTGATTTACCGTTTTTCTTAGTGCGGCCGTTGTTAGCCTGGTTAATTCACTGTAAACAGGGTAAAGAAAAAGAATGAGTATAATTCTTACTTTTTACAAACTATATTAATATAAAGCAACCCGTGATTATTTTAATTAACCAGGTCATACGTTTATTTCAACTTTTTTATGTTAAAAGATTTTTTTATACGTTTAAAGCTACATGTAGGTACCATATGTCTCCGCCTCTGCATTTGTCACACATAAAAAAAAAATAATAAAATGGTCTCCTCCTGCAGCTGGGCGATACTGTGTCTCTATACCAACCTATGGAACATAAATGCAAATGCAATAATGGCTATGTAATAGGGCTTATGGGTCACAAGTTCCAAACCAATGCACAATGTCTTCTTGAACATAATAAACGACCATCACAATATGATGCCGAGTTTGCTTAAAATAATAACAAACTGATTTGTTTTAACATAGTTTGTTAAAAGTAGGAAACTATACTCAGTTTCCTTAATTCCATATACTCTATTTACTGTGTTTAGTATTATATATTTATTCCAGACGATCGTGAAAATAATTGCCCTTGGTTTGGCACATTTTTTAACATTTACAGTAAATTAAAACGCTCTTTGAGATAAAGTTATACTCACATATTTACAATTCTTTCTTTTTTAGTTAATGAAGAAGAATCGTACAAATATTAGGCCAACAGCATTATTTTATTTCTATTATTCAATTTGTAGCTAGTTTTGTCAACACTGGTTTCTCCAACTCTTGGTACCTTCTTGTCAATGAAGCTAAAACCTGGAATGAAGCGGAGAGGTACTGTCAGGAACTACACCCAAACGGTCACCTGGCCATGGTGACGTCCTCCAAAGAAAATAGTTTCATTGTAGCTTTGCTAAAGCAGCAAGTTTCTGGTAAGAAATTATTTCTCAACACCTTCCAAGCTAAGTGTAAGTCTTTTTTATCTATATTTAAGAGATAATCAAACATGCATGACTTAAGAATTGAATAAGAAAATTGCACATCACGGTTCCAATCGCAGAACAAATATCAAGCAGTGCATCTCGGGAAGCACAGCATTATTCAGCTTTGTTTTTGCTGACTATCTCACAATTTGACAATAGTCTTCTTCTTCATGTATTATGATCATAAAGACAAAGTGAGGTAGAACACTGCTTGTCAGTATTACCCGGGTATATATATTTTGTTATCGTAGGTAGCCGGTCTTGGGCCTATCTTGGAGGTCACGACATTAATGTCGAGGGGCAGTGGAAATGGCAGAACGGTCAGAGCATGTCGTACACCAACTGGGACCCAGGCGAGCCAAACAATCGCTGGTCCAGGGAAGACCGTTCGGATATATCATCCGAAACAGGAAAGTGGGACGATGTCTCAGGTACAGAGAAGAAGCCGTTCTTGTGTCAGGTGATTTATCCCGAGTGACTCTTGGCGCCATCTGACGTTAATCGTGATGTGACGCCACGCGTTTAGTCTGTCAGTCATCCATTGGTTTTGATAGTATGTAAAGAAAGGCAGTTTTATCGCAGTTTGTTTTTTCACTAAAATATATTATTTGTGTTAATGTGTGTGAGTTTCGTTCATGAGACTAAAATGCATTTTAATTTTAAAAATTCTGAGAGACCATTCTAGCCGCTTTCTATTATAATGTATACTGCTAAGTTGACACAAAATATATAGGCCTACAGTACAGAGGTGTTTCAAATCGCAAAGTTCATGTCTTATTTTTTTCATGATAAGCAACATAACTGTCTTGTAAAAAGTATTTCTTTAGAAAGTAAAATACAACATGCCACAAAGTTCAACGAATACATTAGTGTACCGTCATGCATCAATATAATGTAGTGATGAAGAAAAATTTTACTGGTAAATAAAAGTGAAAAGGACATGGAATTAAGTAGAGTTTTTATGCTGTAAATTTGCCAACACTAAAAACTCTACCGTAAACAGTATGGTTGTTAAGCGTCATATTTTCAAAAATGAAAAACAAATTTCTATGATATATGATAATCAATACGAAATAAACATTACAATTAAGAATACCAAAGTATTCGTTTTATTTTTCTCAAGATTTAGCACTTATTGTCTTGTTGGCCTACTTATATTGTCAATTACACGGATTTTTATGATGATCAAGTGATGTCAAATTTAAATTTAGATAAGTCCCCCCCCCCCCCCCGTATAATCAACAATGCACACTATCCCTAGTTTTTCATCCCTTTTTTCTTCATTGATTATTTGTAGCCTGAATGTCCTCTTTTATGATGTTAGTTGTTTTATCCTTTTTATGATAATTTTTTTCAATGAATATTGTCTAGGCATTATCTTTTCTAGTAAATCCATTGTAAGGCGAAGTACACTAAAGCTAGGCCGATCCTTCTTGTCACCTCATCAAATCCCACTCTCCACAAGCACCGGCCGCCATTTAATTTAAAACGACACAGCACGCGACTTATTTCGGGGAAATGAAAGAAGATCAGATTTGATGACTGTTGTTTGTCCAACTTTATCAGACACTATCTACTCAAGGATCTTACCAAGAATTTTGGCCACTTATCACGCTACCACGATAAAAAGGTATCTTTACATCATTGCAAAGTCGACAAGATTTGTCCATGGTTTCTCTTCTTCCAAAAAACCGTCAACAATTTCTTGACTAGACTTATTTTGGGCCTAAATAAACAACACTTTTGTAACTTACACTATCATTACTATAATCGGTCCGTGATAAATGGTCCTTGAGTTATGGTCAGTTGTTTGGTCAGTTATTATAACTTTATCCATACGGCACATCTGACTTCCGTGTTTTCGTAGAGGTGGGTGCAGCAGCCTCTTTAACGTGTAGCTATAAGTTAACATCTGATCAACTCCCAACTATATCTATTTCTCACCCTGTCAGTACCTAAGAAGAGGTGGATTCACGGCGAGGGATGTGGGGTGGGGTGGGCGGCGGTTGCTCTCCTGTGCATGTAATGATAATGGCATTGTGTAAAATATTCACATTGAATATTTTAACAAGAAAATATTCCGTAGTCAGTATCGAGGACTCTTCATGCAAGCTGGGAACTGAAATACATGTAACATTTATCATCGACTAAACTGACCAAATTAATTATTTTTAATGCCGTTCCTTGTAACTTGTGCGCGTACTCTCATAGCGGCTTACAGACAGAAGAGGCAAAAAAGACCACCACGAACGATCTAAAGAGAAATTTGTCTCATGAATGATTAAAATCCCACCTGGACTTTTTTTTGGGATCGAACAGATGAAACCAAACTCGGTGTTTAGTTTGAAAATATTGTATCCATTTAACAAAACGATGATGTCCAATATTATGACAGGAGACAACGTTTTTTTTTTTATAAAAGCACTGAACTGAAATTTTTCATAAATTGAATTAAATTAAATTACATAAAAGAATAAGAAACTTAAAATTACGTATCGAAGAGAAAGCGACGGACTTTAATGAAAATAAAAGTGAGATTAGTACAATGTAACAAAGAAGGCGTCTGAAGACAAAAATATATACATTACGACAGGACAGTATGCAATCCTCCATATCACCTGGTCTCGTTTTTCAGTATAACTGCGTAAACTTTCTCTTTCTTCGATAATTTCGACAAAAAACTAACGGTTAGTTGAAGACCACCCCAGTTTGGCAAAATACAGGGCTTAACATTTGTTCCTTTCCTCATTTCTCATTAATTCTGACGAGGATTTACATATTCTTTCATTTATTCTAGTTGATTTTTCATTTTTATTTCATACTCTTCATTAACACTATAGACTCTGAAAATGAGCCCGTATGCTCAGTCATGTTTTCATCGGCGTTAGCTTATTAGTTGTTCAGACATATTTAGATATTGCAAAATATTCCTCACAAATTTTGATGAAAATTTTTATGATAGCCAATTATTCAGAAAAGAAAAAAAAAAAAAAGGGTCACAATTTCATATGAATCCGGATGACCTTATGTATATCAGACGGTTGCTTTCTGCTTTTGTGGAGGTCCGCACTATTGGAACATCTTATTCGGAACTTGTTACAGCAACCTTAACCAACAATTATAGATCATAGCATATTATCACATCTTATTATGACATTAGTTAAATTAAAAAAACACACCCAGTACGATGACTACAAAATCAGTCACCCCATGGAGATAAATTCAGCGTTAAAACTTTTATATAAATGACCATTGGTTAGTCCACATATGATTACAGCACGTTCTTCATTGCGATAAGGAATTTCGATTTATTTTTAGAAGCAGGGTTAGAAGCGCCCGGAAGCAAAACTTTCGGCGACATCGCTACCGCCCTGTTTAACGAAGGACCGGTCAGCCTTAGTCACGGATTGTCTGTGACCCCTTGATTCTCTTCATAAAGGTATCGTTTGACAAACATGTCTTTATCAAGATTAAGTAACGGCACGCGGGTCAGTTCTTAGATTCACCTACGTCACGAGATGAGGGCTATTTCCTCGACCGCTGATGTATTTAAGTCACCGGTGGATGGATAACAGCTCAATTCAGCTTTTATCGCCATCAAGTGATATCATCATTTGTGTTATTTGTCAAAGGATAGGTATTTTAAACTCTTTTTCTGGTTGTTCCATTAAATCTACCGAAAGCAGCAAGATGGTGTGGATCTCCAGTAAAGTTCTCATCGTGCTGTTTGTTCTTCTCTTTCAAAACTCGTCAGCAGTTGTAGGTATATCTGCACTTTGAAAATGAAGCAACACTTTGATTCATTATGATTAAAAAATGATATAAATTGAAGAATGATAATTGTGAATATAAAGATCATATTTAGATCTAATATTTGAAGGCATTATCAGTTTAAGTATTAAAAGAATGGTGCAACATGTCGATAACAATGTTTCTAGCAGCATGAACTGTATGTAGTTTATGACAATTTTTAGTTTACATCTCAACGTGTGGCAGCGCAGAAGATATTATAGAATTACAGTCGTAATGTATCACTCTTTTATTGTTTTTTTCATTATAGATGCAAGGCAAAACGTGTGAGGTAAGTCATATTTTTTCTTAACCAGATGCCAATAGTGCAATACAGATTAAATTTAATAACGGACGTTAACATAAAAATGTCTATTCAAAAATTGCTTCACATTACTTTAGCTTCCCCACAACGTTTGTATACCTCTGATACGGTCATCTTCTTCTGCCAAATGAAAGCAGTGTAATGTTTAACCTGCTCATATCATGTACTCGTGAATTTATAGGACAAAATGCAACCTGCTTCTCTTTGACCGCATTCACAATCAAAATATGGCCGACCCACATGAAAGCTTGCTGATTAACCCGCGCAGGGAATCTTTGTAGTGTACCTTGCGGTAAGCTTTCAAGTGGATCGCTCATATTCGATCTGCGATCTGTTAGTCCGGGGGTTCTGAATGCGGCCTTCATTAACATATTTGAATGCATCGCTTTGACCGGGAGACTTGTCAAAAAAAAAATAAAAATAAATAAATAAATAAATAAATAAATAAATAAATAAAAAAATGAAAAAATAAACCTTACAAGATGACATTCAGAGGGAAAGGCTTTTTTATTTATTCTTTAAATGTCGTGGCGTCCAAACCTTATGTATACTGTATATGAAATAAAACTTACCCAAGTCCCAAATTAAGGTGCCCCCGAGACAAACAAAATAGCACTACAACAACATTGTTGTAGGCGCAACAATGGAACTTCTTCCTGGTCACCTGTTTATTGGTTAATTGCCGAGTGCATGCACTGGACCATGTCGTGGACGACACCATCGCATATTTGTGGGATATCCCAGTGATGCTATGTGTGCGGTCTCGATCGTCACGACCGATTTTCCGCATAGCACACATTTATTTTTTGTACTGGAGGAAATAAACACTATTTCCTCGGGGAAATTAACCTGTGTTTAAATTATTTAAAAGTGGAATCAGTGTATCCACATTGACAATTTTTGAAATCATTAACAAGGAAAAGGTCAATTTTAATGGTATTTGCTTTTAACATTTACAAAGGCATGATTTATAATCGTTACCAATCAAATGTCCAGAAAGAAATGGCTTTTGATGATGTCAGTTTAATCAATATTGTATTATTCTAACAGGATATAAGTTGTCCAGATGGCTCAGTGTGTCGCCAGTATACCACAGCGTGTGTCACTGCCCCCTGTCCACAGTCTGAACCTGAGTGTGTCGGTGAGTTTTTTTATGCCTTTTATATTTGTGGTAATGATTGTTTTATATCAAAAATTGAATAAAATATGCAGAGTTGGGTCAGTATATAATATGCTTGTGTTTCTCATCGACATTCGTAGCGAATGTTCAATTGATTGGATTTCGGCGGAAAAATACAATAAAGAGAACTTTCCGGTACATGCTGCAATATAAACCATACATGTACAACTCCAAATATTTTGGAAATGTATTGAAGTCGCACTTCCTAGATGCTCCAGTTGGTTCCATCTGCTGCCAGTGAAAGCGACTTAAAAAATTAAAATCAATAATATCTTATTTTTCAGTCCAAGCCTCAGGCAAGCCACAAGTAGGCATCGAAGAAACTCCAAAAGGTAGATATATCCTTAAACACGTTTGGTGTTGATCACATGATGATATATCGTACGGCACCTTTAATTGTATTTATGGAAGCTCCATTTTTCTATTTTGAGTTTGCATTTTTAGTATTAAGTAAATATGCTATAAATCAGTAAATATACACGCAAAGTTTAGACATAGTAGGTGCTTATTTTTCCGTTGGTTATTCTTGAAGGTGCCTACCATACAATATACGGTTCGTCATCTGCACTTCAGATAGAGTTAGGGCGAGTTAATTGTGGCTTTATACTTTTTTACTCACTGACGTTCAATTCTCGTTATTTTAGATGTGTGCAGTGAGCCTAAGGTTATAGGCAGGTGCAGGATGTCCATCCCAAGGTTTTATTTCAATGCCGAAACAAATGCCTGTGAGTCGTTTACATATGGCGGCTGCGACGCAAACGGAAACAACTTCCTGACGCTTGAAGATTGCCAGAACGCTTGCCCGGGTTCGCCTGCGGTGGCTGTCCAACAGATACAACAGAGAGAGGCCACTTCTTGCAAGGTGAGATTTAATTTTATTTACTTACCTATTATTCCATCTCAACGATTGACACATACAAATATCTACTTGATGGGGTCACTTTTTATCATCGGACATTACACAAAATGTGACTTTCACGTCGTTATATAGGCTAATTTGAAGAAAGCCGTACATGTACCTATACCTTTAGCAAGACACACCATTTTGGCGTTTGCATAAGGAGCTCAGTTTTGATCCTCACGATCCATTCATTTGTTATTTTTTCATCAATAAACAGTAGTGTCATTTAAAAACGGTGATAACTTCAAGTATCATTTCATATATTAGGATATGGAGTGCCCGGCCGGTACCCAATGCCAACAGGAGACAGCAGTTTGCGTCACCAGTCCTTGTCCTCAGCCTAAACCACTATGTGTTGGTAGGTTCTAAATTCACTCGTCATAAACTATTTTATACAGAGTTGTTGTTTAAGAACAAACTTTGGTGGTTGAATTTTTGAGCTGGGCCAAGCAAATTGAAATATTGTAGGGAATTCTTTAGTATCATACAATTAAAGGCACTGTGTATGCACGGTGTATGCACGTTTTGTTTCATTCTGTTCTGCTTGATTTTGTAACCATATTCAAAGTACATGTCCATCTAATGGACAGTGGTATTTGAAATGCCCAACACTAAATAGTAAATTACACCTTCTCTTTCTGTTAGCTATACCGTCAAGTGGAGGTGAAGTAGGAAGTTTATTGTGTTAGTTTATTGTTATAATCATCTGATTTTATAAATTTCACGTCAAATGACGGTTTACCATTTTCTGCAAAGCACTCTGGTGTGTGCATTCCTTAACTTACAAAATTCAAATCGATATAAAATATTATAGGCTATGGTGAAAATTTCAATTCTTAATCATAAACTCGGTGGACATTATTTTAATACAATGAGAATTGCAACATTCCAAATGGCATTTTATTCTGTTTCAGAGAGTTTTGCTCTAAATGAGTGAATAGATAGCCAATTGCTAAAAACCAGTGAAGCTGCTTTTTGAATAAAAAATAAACAGTGTAAAACTAGAATTCAAGACGGCTGAGATTTTTGCCCTGAGACTGACCATAAACTCATGCTCAAACAGAATAAATTTCAGTTTTAAAATTTTATTATAACTGATTATTTTTGTCTATTTTCAGACGTTTGTCGCGAGCCAAAAGTTGTGGGCCATTGTCGAGGCTATTATACAAAATATTATTTCAACTCGGAGTCAAACACGTGTGAGGAATTCATCTACGGCGGTTGTGGAGGAAACGGGAACAATTTTGGATCACTTCAGGACTGTCAAAGCGCATGCGCAAGGTCATCTGGGGAGGTCACTCAGCAGAGCCAACAGGCGGATTGTAAGTATTTATTTTATCTATTTTCATTTTCACGGTGTTAGGTGTCACTGCAAAGAGACAAGAGTTCGATGGAAGGGGAAGGATGGGGCCCTATTTATTTTTATTTGTTCGAATATGTCACAAATTTTATTTGGCTAATTTTCACCTCACTGTAACAATTATTAAAATTATTTCTTGGTTATGCGTCCAGACAGTTTCATTGCACACCTTCACTTGATTCCAATTTTGTACTTCACATATTTCTAAGCGAATTCAATCTTTCAGCATCTTGTCCAGTTCCCAGACAAGTCTTTAGACTGTGCGGCTCCCCGTGTCCGCCCACGTGCTCCAACCCCAACCCGGTGTGTATGATGGTGTGTACGCTAGGGTGTGAATGCCCGCGCAGCGCCCCAGTGCTTCACGAGGGGAGGTGTATCGCGGCCGAGGAGTGCCCACAAACAGGTGAAATACACTTAAAACGTTATGAGGTGTCAGTCGCTATATATAGAATCAAACGGTGTGTTTCAGATATCGGTGTAGTTTTTATTGTCTATTAGCGCCACTAATTGGAAAGATTTCGAACGAAAGTTATCACGTAGGCTTAACAGTGCATATATCAGCTAGTTTTACAATTTTTAAGTATTTAATTTGATTAAAATTATCAAAACATGTCAACCATCACATGTGTGCTGAGTAGAACCTTACTAACCTTATGACTAAATGTTAAACATGTCAGAATATATGACGCAGTGGTCATTTGAGTTAATATTTTTTTCATTGCAGGTACAAAACCATCGAGTCTTGCCTTCTTATTCCGCTGCTTCAACAGAGAGTTTTACACCGATCCATTGACCGGCAGAATAACCTGCTAACATATCACGATATCATTTTATATCTAAACAAATATTGTTCATTGAGCTACATCCCAAAGCACAGTCATCTACATCTCCCATATGAAAAGTTCTGACTTTTTGACTTATTGCAACGTACATTTTCCTTATTGTGTAATTTGTAAGTGAGAGCAGCTGCAACTTTACCGGTACGGCCTGCAAGTGTTAAGACGCATATTTGTATATGTATTCTTTGCTATAGTTCTGTATATGTATATAGATACATATATTCTATATTCCATAATTTTTTATGCGTCAGTATACCAGTACATACATCCACTGCACGTGTTTACTTGTAGTTACTGTACGAAACGTGTTGTTCTTCTACTTAAGTTTAGTCACATCTTTTTAGAAATCAGTGGGAGATATGGCTTCAAAACTAATAGTTCAGTACCTTAGACGAAAACAGAAATCTCTGGTATTTATTGGGAATAAGAAATAACGATTGTATTATAAGGAAATGAATGTTTATAGAAGAAGAAATATAGACATGTACATGTATGTAGTTTTTTGTGTTGTATACCGTTGTTTTGTTTTATTGTAAATCATTTAACCTTGTAATAAAATAAATATTGTCAAAAGAATGGGCTGTTTTTTAGCAATCTCCGCAGAAGTGTTGAACAGTTTCACTATTAGCTATGTGTTTGAAATGACCAAAAGAGTTTCTTATGTCAATAGCTATAGTAAAATCTCCGATGTTTACCACCCAACATTTCATCTGAGCACTGACATTCAGATTCCTTTCCCTCACAAAGTCTATATAATTTTCTAGAGCTATTTACAATAGGAACTCTATTGGCCATTTCCGCATAAGTGATTGTTCGTTGTCTATTTAATAGAAATAATAATATGTATTAAGGAATGCCAATGACCACATAATATATCAAGATGTTAGATTAGCTACTGGGTATAGGCCTCGATACTGTGCAATAATGAAATGGCGTCTAAGTGGTATGCGCGTCTGCGATCAGTGTAACTACATACCATGGGGTGAAAAAGTTCAGGGCATCTTTCAAGGATTAACTTGGGCACAGTGTGAATGCCACGATTATACTCTCATAATTAGCAGTATGCAAATAAGCAATATTTTGAGCTTTTAACATACATGCATGTAAATCATTTATCTATCAGTACATGTAGTCGATTATATATATATATATATATATATATATATATATATATATATATATATATATATATATATATATATATCATTAGAAAAGAAGAAGAATTGCGTTGACCTGAAAGTAAGAAGTAAATCTTTTTAGTCTTTTGATTACTGATTACAAGAACAGTAATAACAGCAATGCCTTCTGTGATGAAACAACAGCCACAGCACCCAGTACAAGTATTTTTCACATCCACTAAAGTGTTCCAACAGCTCTATAAAACGTTCAGTTACTTTACACCTGCAGGTCTAGGATGTTGCCAGGAATTGCGTGCACAAAGCATATGTGTGTAGCGATTTTGGTTTCTGCCATTGCTTTGAATTTGTCGATCATTAAATGAATTATGTATATGTATAATAGGCGTATGTGTTTACTTAAAATAACAAATAAACAGTTGTACAGAATGTAATGATTTTTGGTTTGTAAAGTAAAGTAAAGTAAAGTAAAGTAAAGTAAAAAAGGAAATCAAATATAAACAGCTATGCAGAATGTAATGGTTTTTGTAAAGTAAAGTAAACTAAAGTAAAGTAAATCTTGAAGAAATTATCATTAACTGAGACTTAGCTATCAAACTACAGCACAGACTACATACCATGCCTATCATCGTTTATGACTCGTATGAAATAAGTCACACATACATTGTCTCAAGTCTGGTCCGGTCAATTGGACAGGGGTGGCCGCTTCATAGACCCAAGACACGCTAACTGGGGTATATATGTCCCAGCGCTAACTGGACTCTAGTTTGAAACAGACAGAGATAGATAAATAAATAGAGAGAGATAGAGAGATTTGAAAATGGACATGCCAGCAGCTGTTGTTGTTTTTTCGATGTTTTGTTTGGTTGGCTTAGCTACGGTAAGGCTATTCAATTTGATTGGCTTTTGTTTTTTGTATAACGAAGTTTGGAATTTGATTTCTTAGTAGTTGCACAGCAGTAACTTTATATAGCACTGATTGAAATTAGAAATATTTGAAAAAAAAAAACTGATAACTTGCATGTCAAAAAGTAAAAAGAGAGGGTAACTTAACACATGATCTAAAATTATTTCTGCAGAACATGCTTTATGCACGTGAGAAAGTATATTTCATTCAGTCTATAACTATATATTCAAAAATCTGTTTGTATTTTATAGGCACAGCAAGTTGGAGGGCCATGCCTGTCTGTAAGTAGAAAAAAGTTATGGTTGAATCTAAAGATTCCATAGAAAATTTATTATTGCGCTGTATGATTAATCATCCACGTACTTTGTGATGACTACATCATAGAGTTGCCCTACGTGAAGTGAATTCATACCATTTGCAAATGCTGGTGCATGTACAACGACATAGACCATTAATCGTTTTCACGTTGAACGAATACAGTTTAATGTAACAATCTTTTAGATGGTTTGAATGTCTACATTCATTAGAGAAAGCGTGCTGGAAAATGTGAAAAATATTTGTTTTTATAGTATAAGGACAATTAAATACTTCCCTCAGTTATAAAAAACATTATTTGCCAATGACAATTAAAATAGTTCTTTATTTGTAAGCATAATATCTATTATAAAAATCTTGTTATGCTGCTTTCTGTCAGTTAAAAATAAAATATACCATTTTCAGAAAAGCTGAACTTTTTTGCAAACGTCTTTTCAAAGCATGGCTTATTTGTTCTGGTCGCTGCAGTTTTCCACATGAAGGAAAAACCTGGAAGCACTTGTCAAATAAATGATGTCTTTTTTCATTCACTAAAAAATGGCTTGAATCAAGTTACATAATAGCTGTCAATAAAAATTTTGAATTGGTTTGGTTCAGGAATCCCACCCCACACCTTCAGTGTCCATTTATCTCATCGTAGTCCTAACCACTCCTTAATGACTCCTTTCTCTCTCTATTACACTTTGACCACCATTGCCGACCACGCCCCCTTGTTTACTTCCTTATTTATTTCATGAGAACTAGGCCGAAAACAACCATTAAGCGCGGGACATTATTTATCACTGGTTATAAGCTGGAGTTTCCCACGTCCACACTCACTCATCAAGACATTGATTATTTTACCTTGTTGTCTCTGCTGGGGAAAGCTTTCATGTTTTATGTAGTAATAATCTTTTCAGTTGGTCCCTTTTCATCGATTGACTTAAGACCGAAAGTGGGTGTCATTTTAAAGCCCAATTTTATATTAGTCGGCTCAACTCAAGATATATCAGTAGTGGCCAAAATACACTTGTCTTATAAAAGAAAGGCGTCCCTGTGGCTAATGTTTTAAACCAATTGTTGCTTTATGTTAATGCACTACTGGAAGTGTATTCTAAATTGAATTAGATCACCATTTACTGTCTAAATGATAAGACCTCAAGGTCTGTGTCTAATGATATTTTGAGAAACTGACCCTGCACGTTAAAAATCAACAGCCGTTGTCTTGCGTGCTTCACCCATATAATGGCGCTCCCCAGTCCGTCTATAATCATATGCTGCTACCACAATGGTCACGATACTTCACCAGTTAATATTACGGTGCCGGATTCCAGGTTAAATGCTATCAGAAATATCTTGTCGCTAAATACTAAATGTATCTAAACGAGGGCCAGTGGAGACGCCAATACCTACTGTCGTATGTTATGATATTCCATTGTTCCTTAATGTCGGCGTCTTGGGTGATTTTGGTTTGTTTACCAGTAATTTGAGATGAATATCTACAGGAATGGCAAAGGAGCGTCTATCATGATTTTAAAAGAGGGAGTTTTTGAACTGAAGCCAAGCGACGTTTATGATTCATGCCTTGGTATCCTTGATAACAGATGGGAATCTAACTACACGCGAAACATGGTGCAGCACAATTTCAGATCAGGACAACTAACACATTTAGGTTGAGACGACCGCTCTCTAGGACCTAGTGTATAACTGCAAACACACTGGAAACCTTGTTGTACATGTACAGTATATTCTCATCGCTCTGACCTTGCGTTTAGTCATTTTGTTAAATACAAGCTCCAATTGTTAGGCCAATGCTTTAACCCAATTTTAAACTGTAATACATTTTAACACTAACTTCTCAAGAATGGATGGAAATCGCAAGGCAACGGGGTTAATATTCACGAATGATGCATTTATAGACTTAATAAGAATACTCATTTTGTAATTTTCATTTTTTTAAAATGAAGATAATAATTTTTAAAGTTTGACTTTTGTACTTGAATTATATCAAGTTCTCTCGACATTAAGTTCATATCCATTTCATTATACAGTACAGTATGTTTCGTGAAGCTCCTGTACCTGTATTTATATATGAACATTACACATTATTTCCGCTTCAGAACAATCCTTGTGGTCCGGGCACAAGATGTGTACAGGACACAATATTCTGCGTCCGGGCACCTTGCCCCCAGCCTGCGCCTAGGTGTGTCCCTGACGGTGAGTACAGTGACGCTCATATTTATAGGCGCGATTTTTAGAAATACACGCGGTACATGTAGTCTTAGCTGCTCAAAACAGCAACATGTATGGTTACCGACCTATACAGACGTACAGGTACTTATGCATGTACATACGCGGTACATATACACTGCACACACATACATGTATACACACATATGAGCACATTCGTACTTATAAAAGTATAAATATAAAATATTTTTATAACATATAAAAGTATCAATAACTAACTTTAAAATGATTGCTTGTTCGTTATACATGAAAATACAATTTCAACTGCCAAAATCATCATTACATCTTATACCATCTATTACATATACAGGATTGGGGCAAACCTCAAACCAAGTATGTACATTGGGAAAGGATGTCGGTCCCTGCCGAGCCAAATTAGATCGCTTCCACTACAACGCCAACGCTGGACGGTGTGAGCAGTTTGACTATGGTGGCTGTCGTGGCAACGGGAATAATTTCAGATCTCGCGCAGAGTGCGAGAACACGTGCATGGTTCCGAGAATTGGCGGTCAGACTCGCGTGCAGACCACGGATCCTCTCCGTAAGTCTTTTTTTTCTTAAAGGAATTGTGATTTATTTGTCGATTTTTTTTCACAAGAAAACAAATTGTGTACCATCAGACATAAGCATATTAAACATGATTCCAGTGGAGCATTTTCGAGGATCCCCAGGAAATTTGCATTTGGTATCCAGCACCGAAGGCTGTAAGGGGGAGGGACAAGTGGGGACTGCCCAATTCCTTGAGATTATTAATTAACTTTTGGGGATCTTTAAAAGGTGTTTACCTTTTCCTACATCAACGTAACTAGCTGCCCCAAGCATCTTTGTGAGCCTACAGTCAATGTATCTTATACATTTATTATCAAACTTCCTTTTTCGATACCTTCGAATGGAAACGCATTTGCGTAAAACTGGCGTCACAGCTAACACATTTGGATGTTTCACTTTGCGATGTTTCGGCACACATTTCTTCTCTCTCATGTATCAAATGATCGCTAAGTGGCATCTGTTTCAAAAGATAAAGATGAATTAGACGAAATATTGGAATCGTGTTCCAGAAGCTTTGGCCGTTTTTTGACAGGCATTGGTCATAGTAAATGCTGCGATCACAGTATGGTACATGTATAAAAGTTGATAGTTGATATAAAGGTCGATTAAGGTCCTGCAGCACAGGAAGAACCTTGTTATTTTTGTAGGAATGGACACAAAAAGACTTCTATTAAAACAAACTCTTAAAAATATGTTGCGGCATGAGGCACTGCTGGTATGTAGTATTATATAGTACGCACCGACCGAATATCCGATATCAGCTTTAATTTTTTTTCAAAATACCATTTGTTCATTTCCAGCCCCTAGAAATCCTCTGCAAAGACCAAGAAGACCTCCTGGACCATCTCAAGGTAATCACCTCAGGTTACTTTCAATAATTTTATTTTCACGTGTAAATAATGTGTTTTACACTGATCTCATTTTTACAAGTAATTTGAGGTGTAGAAAGTTACATGTACCTTCTCACTGAGGAAGGCTTTAGAGCAACACCAAAGTCGAAATGTTTTACACAAATTAAGTATTTTTACTTCTCAAATGACCTGTTTTATATTTATGAAGGGTAAAAAAATGAAATTTGTTCGTAAAATTCAAGCCACTGTGTCCGAATGTAATTGTACAGTATGTCGGAGGCTTCAACAGTAGCTCACCACCGTGTTTCACCATTATTCACGTTTTGCAAACAATCGAACCTTAAAATGGTGTCTTCAAATCAAAGGAGGCAAAGAATTTTGTCACAGCCCTCTTTCACTTTTTGTTGAAAATCACTTATGAAATGTGTGTGTTGTGCGGAAACATATTTCACACACAGATTTTATACGCTGTTTGTAAGCTTTTATTATATGCCCCGTTTTACTGCGTCAAGACGAATTTAGTTTTTATGATACACTGACTGTCCTTTTTCCGTTCTCCATAATTTCAGTCTGCCCAGACGGCCTTGTATTCTCCAACTGCGGACTGACGTGCACTCGCACGTGCTCTAACCCCTCCCCACGCTGTGTGACAACGTGCAAGCCCGGGTGCATGTGCCCGATGGAAAGACCGTTTTTTGAAAACGGAAGGTGTGTGACACGGAACGAGTGCCGTCTTTTAGGTGAGTTCCCACAAGGACAACAGTGCTCAGGGACTGGTTTTACAAAATAGCCTGAACTCCAAAATTGGCCTTAGCATTTTATAGCCCAAAGTTTGGTCGGTTCAAATTAAATTCACACCAAGGGTTGTTGATATGTAAATATAAAGTAAATATTGCTCTGAAACATTAACCATGTCTCTCCAGTTATAAACCAGGTAAAGCGTTTCATTCATTGCTCTACTGCCGATTTATGTTGGGTGCATGAAAGTAGACTTAAACTTTGGTCTGAAAGTTCAGGACAATCTTTGGGCTGTAGCTCTTATGTAAAACGGGTCGAAGATTAATGTTGACGGGGTGCAATCAGGAGAAAATTGTGCATTTCCTCTCCTGCGATACAAATACCTAACATAAATCAGGTTTTGTCTTAGGTATTGTTGTTTTGATTCAGTCAAGCTGACGCAAATATCTACTGTCGTGTCGTGGTCGTGACGCCTAGTGAACTTAGGCTCTGGTGGATTTATGGGAATGTATTACCCTTTAAGGTGCAAAAAGTGAACAGAAGCACACGTCTTTTCACGTGTAGGGTAACCGCAGATATCTACGTGTATGTGTAAGTGCAGGCAAACCTTTAGTGTGGATCATATTAGGTCGAGTGTTCGCATGAGAGCACGAATATGCACGCATCCACACGTGTACTCCAGCGTGTTCGTCTTTACACGCCAAAGTAGGCGTTCGCGACTAATATCTGTTTTGGTTAATACTAGTAAACTATATTTCATACAATTTGTACAATTGTATTTGCTTTAATTTCAGCTACAAGAGTGGGTCTTCCCGTCAGAAACCCAAATGTTCCATGCCGCTTTGATTCTTTCTCCGGTAGACTAGTTTGTTGAACAAACTTGACAAAGTAAAAAAAAAAAATTGGGATAATTGTAAGAAAAACGCTGCATAAATCCCACTGTAACCCCAATATTATCTATTTAAAGCTAAGCATTAGAGAAATGACAATTATTATTGAAGGCCTTTTCCAGTCAATTATTTTGTGTGCCCTCCCACAAATAAAATAATGGTTCAGTTATTTAGAGCGAAGTTAGTATGACAACAGGCTGATTTTACTCACTACGTCAAGAAAGCTGCTTAAAGACACGTCTCCAGAGACTCCATTTCCAGACCCATGTATTAAATAACAAATCGTGCCTAGAAAGTGAACTTCCTATGGAGGTTAAAAGCTTCGTGGGCTTGAGCCTGATATACCGTAGGCGATACGTGAAAGGTGCATTATCTTGTTTTCCAATCCTGAGGTAGTTTTGATGTCAACACAATGCATCATCGCACTTGTCATATGGTAGCTATGAGAGTACAGGAACGTTATGCGAATAATTAATGGCTCTCGTCGGCACACAGTCCTGGTTGTAGTAGCGTGTGCGACGGTTTTTTTTCACGGATTTAATTGGAGTATGCAGGAAGTGGTTTTGTTAGCAAATCACAGATGCAAAAGAAGCATTGGTGTTGTTTTCGCTACTTTGAAACCCAAGAAGACATCATAGATCACAGCGTAAGTTAAAGACAAACTGGATGTGTTCCTGAAAGTACAACTGTTTGTTGATGCTAAAAACATTATCTTTTTACTATCGATATTATCATTCCATGTGGATAATAAAATTGTTTACTGCAGCGAAGATGTGTTCTCGTCTTTTGAGTGAACAGGAAGTTTCATCGATCAATTACACCAACAATTCGTTATTTACATTCATTTTTTATTCAAAATAAGTCTTTTTTCTAAATATCTTTTAAACCTAGATATATACTTCACCCATACTAAAGGTATAACTCACTGTAAACAATTCAATACGAAAACCATTAAGAAGTCTACACTTTCACTAAACGAAATCGCAGATTGAAGAATTCGCCCATTCCTTACACTAACAAAACCATGCATGCAAATAGATACCTGGGATCGATTAGGCAAAATGCAATAATAAAATGTACATTAAAAACAAATTCCCGGTTTAATGGATAAAGATTCAAAAAGGAGGGGATGGCATGAGACCAAGAGCTCCCAACAGGAGATAACAACTGATCTTGACCTTTACATGAACTAAATTAACAGCCCATGAGAGGTTACCCTCTACCACAGGCCCCTTGAGAGGCTACCCTCTACCACAGGGCCCCCTAAGAGGCTACCTTCTACCACAGGCGTGAGAGATTACTCTTTACCAGATTAGCCAGAGAAAAATATCCGTGAATATCTAATGGAATATAAACTCTGTGGCTCTGGTAGAGAGTGGAGAGAGGCACCTGGCTTACGTATAGTTTGTGTTTCTGGGATAACATTTAACCCGGTCGCTTTTTTCTCCCGGACTTATGTGACAAAAACGAGGATCATTGTACTTCTGAGTGGTGAAATGTTTTTCCTGCAAGCCTGATATACACACATAGGCGTCGTTCGCTTATCACTTTCCATCACAAAGGCCATTCCCTTACGACACTGGTGTTTAAACAAGATGCGCGAACCCCTTCACATGTGCAGATGTAAAGGGTATCGGAAACCTTGCCAGTGTCTGGAATAATTGTGTACCGTTAACACATGCGAATTATCAGGCACCATTAAGATTTCCACAATTTTACGGATTATGAACTGCTTTAAATTCCAATGCACTATTAACATTAAACATGCCATAATTGTTATTGTGTAGACTAAAGGTAAACACTATTGTTATTTTCACTATTAGTTCTCGCACAGTGTCGATTTACAAAATATGAAATTCACGAGAACTTTTTTCTGGCGACATTAACATTTTATTATTATTCTCGCTTCATTTAAGAGATCAGTGATGATTTCTTAAAAACAAATGCTGGTTTGGCTATCACGGACCAACAAATAATTCATGTGGCTTAATATATTTTGGAATTATCCACAACTACCAACATAGAAATCGATCAATAATAATAATGATAATAATAATAATAATAATAATAATAAGACAAAATATTTGAACAAAACTTATTTAAGTACAGACATATAACAACAACAATAAATCTTTTTAAGACAACTTTAAACTGTGTCGGATTCCCCAATTTGTGGCACCGGTGAATAGTCAGTGGAGGCAAGATAGCTGACCATTTTGTACACCTCCTCGCTGTTACCAAGAGCCCTGGACACGATACTGGGCTCTTCTCTCGACAATGGCGACTCCGACAGCTTTCGTTCTATTGTTGACGCGCTGGGTTTCCTCTTCAAAAAGACCGACATCGCTTCTCGTCGAAAGTGCGTCCCGCTGACGCAGTAACAGATGAAGTTCGTGGCATAGTTTGTGGCCGTAACAACACCCAGTATGCTGTATATCATATTTTTTCTTGCCTTGAGGTGCTGTTCGTCGTCCACAGACTGAGTTGTTGGGTCTTCGTATTCAATGATAAGGTATATGGCGGTGGGACTAGTGAAAATGAAGAACGATATACTAATAGCTATGAGCATGAGAGCTAGAGAAACCGTTGTCCTGTTTGTTTTATTGGTCATACAGTGGTGGCGCTTAAAATTCAATAACTTCCGCTGAGCCACCACTTTTCTTAAGTTTGCGATTATAAAATAGTTGCAAATGAGCATTATCATTAGTGGGATTATGTTCCATACTAAGAGGTCCACCCACGGACGCACCTTTGTATTGAAAGCGTATAACCCTGCGTCTGTGTTCAGCTCACAGTGGCCAATGAGAGTGGTCCCATTAATGGAACTTTCAAAGGAATCTCCAAAGCTCCAAAACACGTGAAAGTTGACGGCAAAAGTTAAGAACGTCAAAAAGAGCAAAACGATTCTGTTTCTTCTGCGGGTGGTTATTTGTCTCTTTCTGAGCGGCTGACACACAGCAATGGCCCTGTCTATCGCGATGGCAGCGATGATCCATGCGCTCAGGTCCATAAAACTCCACAAAAGAAAAATATGCCATCGACACGTCCACTGTGACACTTTCCGGATGTCAAAATCTACGTAAGCACGGGTGGTGTGTCTTGGGATATTCAAAATAAGGATCGTCAAATCCACAGCGGAAAGAGCAACGAAGTACATACTCCCCTGTGTATCACGCAGCGTAGGGCGTAGCATAACTGCAATCGTTAGGGCATTACCCAAGACGCCTACAAAAGCGATAACCGGTCGAACGTACATTTGAATAGCATCTGCTACTCTTATCTCCATGAACTGAGAGGAGGGAAGCGTGTCAAAGGCGGTGGGATCGAACATATTCTTTTCAGAACTCCGGTCCACGCCCTGTACATCAAGAGATATAATGGAATTATTCTGACCGGTTTGGCTGAAGTTCTTGTGCGGAAGGCCTTTAGGATGTGAATAGTTATGGACCCCTTTCGTGTTCGTTCGGTTGTCAGGAAGGCTTTGACGCGAGGAAATTTGATGTCGATATGGGGTCCCAGTTCCGCGTTCCTCGGGAAGTGCTCTCTTTGATTGAAATGGTTTTTTCAAGTCTTTTTCTCCTTGGCGGAAGTCAATATGTCTGTTGGCAATAGCATCAGCATTCTCTCGGTCCATATAATTGGATGTCACATCTAGAGAACAAAAAAGGAAATATAAGTTAAACACAATGGAACATGGACAATCTTTGAAGCAATTCACCTGAAATGATGTACTTGGAGTCTACCCTGGTGATTTGGTTTATACCCTAGTACATACTCCCTAGTCTTAATCTCCCTGTGAAAATCAGTGAGAGAACCTCAGAGATGTTTTATTCTCAATCGAGATGCCCAAGCTTATAAGTCTTGATTTGAGTGTCGACATAAGTATTCTCAAGTTTCGCATTTAATGAAGAAACCAAATCACGGCCTATTATGTGAACTGTCTGCCAGTTAGCTGTGTAATAGTCTAGATGAATGGACTTCCGGAGAGCTTACTTCCAGGCTTCAACGGATAATAAAAAGAAATGAATCTCGACTCTTTCATTTTTTTTTTTTGAAATAACACATCTGTACGTTTAACAGGACATTTCACTATAGCTATCTGCCCCCCCCCTCCCCCCGGCGCTAATTTCTCCCCGTATTCCGAATCTCGCTTTGCATCACGGTAATATCTGATAAAACTGCTAGGAAATGACTTTTTTGCCATAAAATATTGCACGCGCTGTTATTAAAACCTAAGTTGATGTAAGACCTGACATTTACCACCAAATCGTGCATCGGAGAAGGAGGGAATGTTCTGACTCATTCAGTAGCGTGGTATCACATCTGAGAAAAAATCTAATACTGGGATTCCAAAGTAATAAACCAACGATAAAACATTGCGATCGGTACCACCGATTTTCATCAGTGAAATGGGTAGACCCAATGGACTAGATTGTTTTATTACCTCGAGAGCTCGTGAGTTCAGTGAAGATTCTCTTCCCTTAATTATGTCATATATCGAAGAGAGAGAGAGCAGATCTTCTGCCATCATACATGTACGCACAGGGAGACCAGAAATACCACTCACACCTAATCTTGTAAAAACTGCAATATTATTTTGAACTCGTTCATTTATAACACAATATCTGAACTATTGATGTTTATGTCCAATGCATATTTGTTACACTGTAAGTATTTACTTGAGGGACAAATGAAATATAATATAGTTCTAACCACTGAAATCTCCAATATATCCAGTCTTAGGGGAAGCTAAAGCTAAGGGCCGTACAGAAATCTGTAAGCAAACTACTATAGGATGGTCAAATGGAGTTTTTATTCCGTTCTCGTGCCTGTTATCTTCAAATATAATACTTAACCGCAAGAATTTTTATCTGCACTATTTGATGTTGACTCCATCGATCAATTCGATTTGTACTAACATGGAATTATTTTAAAACCGTTAGAAGTAAACCAAGTCTTGCTTATCTTACAAGGACCATGGGGAAAATGCATTGTAGATTCACCATGTTTCTGCTCTCAATAAATGAAGTTTAATAAATAAATAAATAAATAAATAAATAAATAAATAAATAAATAAGTAAATAGACTATCGTGGAACAACACTGACATGTAGCGGTTACACAAAATAACGCCTTTGAGGGACGATCCATTAAAAATCTACTGAAATACGTGCTATCAGGTGCAATTCTGACATTCAAATGACCTACATCTTAACCAAAAGTCAACAATCTCGGTGTCGGCGTCATTGGAGCATTCTCTGGTATTTGAAGGTACCACTATAAACCGTTGTTTCAGCTCCTCTTGATGTATGGTTGGTGTCCAGGCCATTTAACGGACTTTTCAAAGCTAATTTCTCACCAAAGTGTAAGTTTTTTTAGTTAATAACTTTAGAAATATACACCATGTACTTGACCAGTCACTAGTTCGTCTACTTGCCGCCTAGGTTTCCCAATCACAATTTCAAAGCCCCCCCCCCCCCCATAGACAAAATTACTCTTGCAATTTTATAAAACACACGTAACTACTGAATTTTTTAACATCACACTCTAATAGCTAACCTTACATAAGTAGATTGCATGGCGTCTGAATCCGTCCTTGTGCCCGAAGACATTACATTAGTGCACTGCATATGACCACTTCGTAACACGCTTTGATATTTCAACCTCTATTATGCGATGTCAGGAATGTGATTAAATCTAAAGGCCATAATATGTTTCTGTTTTACAAATTTCCGGGTTGCTTTTGTGCTCAAACCAATAACAAAGGCGTATGAGTGTGGGGAGGGGGGGGGGAAACAAGGGGACAGACTAACTAGTGGAATCTCCCCCTTCGTTCTTTTTTTTTTTTTTTGAATTGTTTGTCACTCCATTTACAATTCTTACTCTTCTCTGCCGAAATACAATTAAAGCACTAAAAGGGGACCGACTGTCATGAACTTTTAAAAAAGAGATAGGCCTCTAAGCAGGTTTCTGATAACATGAGCGAAATGGTTATCCTTACATAGGGGGATCAAGGTAATAACACAAAACTATTACGTTCATCGATTTTCCCGCTACCCCCAAAAGGTACTTGAAGTGGATAGACACGGTTCTGTAGGCCAAACCTCAGTGCATGCTTTTTCTCTCCCATCTGAATAATGAACAATCTGAATAAACAATACGACAATAATATGGGGGTGGAATGTCTATGCCATATCTTATTAGTACTTACACCATCCCATACGACCTACATAAAACAGTTGTGTCTTTCAAATAAGAAACTCTCATTGAATGCTAATACGTGTATAATTGCCCCCAATCGATCCAAACCCACCTTGTCCCGAGCTTAATTGGGTTGATGTGTTCATACTCACGTACAGTCTTAGCTTGACTCCAATACCCATATGTCAAAAGAGCAAATCTAATTTGGGTCACAATCTAATTAGGTTCTAGTAAATCAGCTGTTCACTGGCATACAAGATACGTTACAAACACCACGTCAGGAAACTTTTCTCGACGATCACGACATCGAGCTAGAAATAAAGTTGCGTTGCAGCTAGGACCCACCAAACAAGTTAGTTTCATGGATCTTAGATTTTAGCCAGTCCTCTTATGACAGATGTGTTTGTCGAGAGAGCTAGAGCGTTTATTTTCTTAAAATAAATGATCGATTATGATCACGACCACCCTGTTGATTATTAACAGCGTTTACTCGTCTCCATGACACCATCAGATGGTTATGTCTGGTTTGCCTATCTTGGAGGGCTGCTTCAACGAGGAACTTTAGACCAAAGATTGGTATTATCTTTTAGGCTAAAATTTCAGCTTCTTTGATCCAAGATAAGTCTTGCCCAAGATTTTATCTGGGTATTTTTATGGCCAGTGGTAATGTGCCACAAGACACAAGAAACATGTGACATGAAACAAATGGCAACTGCTTAAGACCAGAGGTCACACCTTTTTAGACGACCACTGTAGATTTAACCTGAAGTGAAATCTGCAAAAAAAATTTGCTTTAAAAGCTATGACCAGCCTTCGTTCTGATGTTCTTTTGTGCCAACAACCCCAAGCTATTTAACGTTGATTTGTCGACATGAGATTGATTATACGAATGAAAGCCTCCCCTCATGGTGCAAATCGTAGTTATTGGTGATAATGTGAACTTAAGGAGGGTTAAATATCAACATGGGCATGGTTGGCTGGAACCAAAAACGTACATTGAACGTCCTTGGCTGGAACAGATCAAGGTCTGATTCAAGGCAAAGGTTAAACCTTTATACAACAACAACAACTTAGGTTTTCTGGATATTTTTATTCCCCTTAACGGCCAAGGTATACCACTTCCAAAACCGTTTAAGGAAAGGGGCTGGTCAATTTCACTCATGAGGTTAAAATTGAGAAATTTAGAAATCGAAAACGAGCTTATATGCCAGTCGATCATAATTTTATCAACAGTTGCTTATATCATCAGGAAATCCATGTTTGTTATATGTAAAGAACGTACACGCCCACTGAATACATTTAAGGGCCTGCCATGTCTGTTAGACTGACAACATCAACAAATGATAACAATAACAATAAACGGATTTAAAATTCTATGAAACGGAGAGGCGATTCCGATACTGACATTAAAAGGACCAACAGCTATACAAAAGGCAGACAGACCGATAGACAGACAATCGACACTGGTATTGATTAACTCCAGGTGCTGGAGATGCATAATCACTAGTTCTTGGTGAAGACAGCAGACATCTTGAGCCCCGCAGGGTACTGCTGACATTTCACTGAATTCATTTTCTTGGTATTCTTTTTGTTCCATCATGACATTAAGACTTAGAGTACAGTTGGGAAGTATGATTTCAAGTTAACAAGCTTGTACTTTTCAATGCTTTAAGGGCTCAACCCCAATGCAACTACCGTCGTATCTGATTGCACTCAGCAAGAGTCCCTGTGGAGTTGAATCGATCTATGTATAGACTGATAGTTTCATTGGGGATGTGCCCTAAGACGGACGTAAGCTAAATTGCCTGCCCGTTCAAACCGCTCCCCCCCCTTTGATTTCCAAGCTTCTTATAAACCTTGAATATTATGGGTACAAGGACATCATGCTAGTACGTTTACATGACATGCAGCACCGTGGAGCATTGGCCTTATTTTTCCAGAAAATTTCATTCTAAATTTAGTGGCCGTTGTTTATTCTTGGCAACAATCAACTGTTTCTTATGCCGCTTTGTTTGTCCGTAAAACGTAAGAGCATTTGCCATTTCGGTACAATATGAATGATAATGTCATTTTATCGACGGCTTGTCATTTGTTATTCTACCTAATTACAATAACAATGGGGATTTTTCAGACGCAAAATAGGAAAACAGTGTGTGATAACGAGCAGGCCATACTGGTGTGCAATTTTGCGAACTCAGCGCAGAATGAGTTTTGCACATTGCTTTCAAAACAGCGTCTGTCGCCTATAACAGTACCGTGGTAACAAAGTAACACTGGTAGTGTGTGATACCTTCCACTTGTGGATACAATATTGGGGGGGGGGGGGAGGGGGGTTGGAGGAGGGAGTGCAGAGGATTTTTATTATTTTTTAGCCTTTCTTCGTTCGACACATGCTAAACAGTGGACTATAGGTAGTGTAAGAGTGCATTCCCAGAGATTTAGATCGATTCG